AAATTTAAAATTAAATGCTGAGATAGAAAAAATATAACAATTAACTAAATCTTTAGAAAAATAAAAGGCTGATAAATAGTTATTACAAGAAAAAATAAAAAAACTTTAAGAAGAAATTGATTTAAAAGATTAATAAATTTTAGAATTGAGAACTGAATAAGATGGTAGGGTTTAAAATTCATTTCATGGAAGTTTCTTAAATTAATCCACATTAGAAGATGGTAAAAGTGTAGCGGATTTAAATTTAACATTTTAAGAAATGAAAAATTCTTTTTAAATTGCTCGAGAATAAATTGAAGAATTTGATAAGGCTTAAAGAAGGATTGTATAATAGGAAGCAGAAATATTAGCTTTGAAATCATAATTAAATGAATATAAAGAGTCAATTAGAATAACAGTTTAGGAACAATATGAAGATTAAATGGAAGAATTAGAAAAAAAGTAAAGAGATTAAATTAGGGAATTAGAAGCTAAACATTTTAATGAAATTACAAAATATGAAAATGATAAAATAAGTTTGAGAGATTAATTTAATGAATTAGAAAATTTGAAAAGTGAAGTTATTTTATTAAAAAAGGATTAAGAATAAGCGAATTTAATCATAATGGATTTAAAAAAATGTAAATAATTTATATATTTATTAGAGTAAGAAATAGATAAAAGATTGAGATATTAGATGGAATAAAGATTAAAAGAATAAGATATACTTATATTAGATTTAAAAGAAAAGGAAAGAGTTTATCGTAAAAAATGATTATTTATAATTCACAAATCCTAAATTTTTTAAGATATTTGATTGATTTATTTATCATAATTCTTTTGTTTCTAATCATTCATTTTCTTTTATATATCAACAAGAGTGATGTTCATATATTCTTACTTGGCAGTTGCGATAACATCATTAATATTTTCAAAACCTTATCCAGTTAATGAAGAAACCTCTAATACTGTAAAGTTGTTATAAAATTCCTCTAATGTCAATACCATTTATTTGCTCAAAGTAGATAAATAAGTATCTTTCTTTTTTAAAGCTTCTGTAAATGAATCATAATCTCTCAACCATTCTAAGGGTTTTTTTGAATCAGCAACATCACATTTATTAAAAACTATAACCATAGGTAATTTAAATTTGTAGAATATACTACAACTAAATAATAGATTGCTCATAAAACTATTAGGGTTTTAACATCTTGCAATGTCAATAACATAAAATATTATTGTTGGCATAGACATAGATAATGTTTAAGATATTAAATTGCCAGATGCAGACCAAGTAAAAACTTCGATTTATCCTGGAGTATCAATAATTTATATAGTGGTATCTGATTTTTCTATTTTTTCTATTAATTAGTTTAACTAAAGGGAGTAAAGATTAAGTGCAGTCATGATTGCTCCATTAGGACCTAGTTTATTTCTAGATTTTATGATAAAGAGTAATACTTAGTCATTAACTCTTTGTAGTTAATTGATTTACGAATATCTTCTTCAGGTTCATAAGGCAATGAATAAACAGCAGGATCAAGATTAATTAAAGTATGCTTTTCATTTTTTAATTGTTTGCTTAATTGCTAAATAATATTGATTGATTCCTAACCTAAACAAAAGTGGTTTTGCCTGTTCCTGCCATTCCAATGATAAGTATAGCTACCTTATTTTCCTTTATCTAAAATTCAATGTCCATAAATTAAATGAATAATAAACTAGAAAAATTAGTGCAAAATTTGTTTAAAGAACGTGTTATTAAATCAGAGATTGTGAAATAAGTTTTATTATCTGTGGATCGTAAATAATTTGTTGACGAGTCTGATAAAATTAATGCTTATGAAGATTATCCATTATAAATTGGCTTTAATGCAACTATATCAGCTCCTCATATGCATGCTTATTCTTTAGTATATTCTTATGCAATTAGGAATTACTAAAAGATAATTTATAAAATGGAGTTAGAGCTCTTGATATTGGTTCTGGTAGTGGATATTTATGTGCTGCTATGTTTCTGATGATGAAATAATAATAATCAAAAGTAATTGGAGTGGAACATGTTCCAGAATTGGTTGAAAAATCTATCAAAAATTTAAGTTTGTAATTATATAAATAATTTAGATAGGTCTTACAATAAATAGTTATAAGATAAGCAAATATAAATTATTAAAGGAGATGGACGATTAGGGTTTGAGTAAGAAGGTCCTTATTAAGCCATTCATGTTGGTGCTGCAGCTGAAACAATACCATAAAAACTATTAGAATAATTGGACAAAGGAGGTCGCATGGTAATACCTGTTGGTAAAGGAAACTAAGTTTTTTAAGTAATTGATAAGGATTAAAATGGGAAAATCAACATCTAAAATGTTCTGGGAGTTAGATATGTTCCTCTGACTGATTTAAATAAGCAACTATATAATTGATAGAATTATAGATAGATATATTAAATCAATTTCAATATCAAAATTTTATTATCCTAATTAAGTAGTAAATAAATATAATACTTATTATAAAATTAAATATAATGCAAAGCATAGACCATGAACATTATACTAAAGTAAAAAAATTACCTGGAGGAGCTTATGGTAAGATTTATCTGTGTAAATGTGAAAAACCTATACATAATAAAAGAATATTTTAATGGATTCCTTCATTAGTAGAAATAGAAACTCATCCATAATATGTAGTAATAAAAAAATTCAAGCCTTTAAAAAAGAGAGTGGGATTAGACATAGATAGTTTGCGTGAGGTAAGATTTATGAATACTATGATTCACTAAAATTTGAATATACCTAAGCATGTGTTTATGAAAACATCAAAAAAAAGGAATGATGATACTTTTGGCTCAATTTGCTTTGTTTATGATCATATGGTTTCTCTGTTTGAGATATTATCAGTTTTCAGGGAGTCTAATGAATCAATTCAAGAGAGTGATATCAAATTAATGCTTCTCTAAATATTATAGGGATTTGAAGAGCTTCATTAAAAAATGATTCTTCATCGAGATTTTAAACCTGAAAATGTTTTAGTAACAAAGGATGGTATTTTAAAAATAACAGATTTTGGTTTAGCAAGATTATGGGAAGATAAGCCTATGACAACATAAACATGTACTATGCAATATAGATCACCTGAACTTTTTTTCAATGCTTAAAAATATGGTCCTGCTTTAGATGTATGGGCAATAGGTTGTGTATTTGCAGAGTTTTATCTTAAATAACCTTTATTTTCAGGGGAGAGTGAGATTAAAATATTATCTAAAATGGTAAATATACTTGGAAATCCTACTGAAAAAAATTGGCCAGGTTTTTAAAATTTGCCTTAAGTTGTTCAATTTGAGAAAAGGGACTCAATGAATTTATTTAAATTATTACCAAAAATGAGTAATGATGGAATTGATTTATTATCCAAAATGTTATAATATGATCCAAATAAAAGAATTAGTATAAAGGATGCTTTGAATCATAAATATTTTAATTAAATCGAATCATAAAATTTGACAAAAAAGTTAATGCAAATTATACATAGTAAATTAAATTGATTTATTTTACAATATATATGAAGTTTTATCATTTTTTATCATTTGTAATTTCTTTTAAGCCTCTTAATTTAATATTGTATTTATCTTTAAATGATTTCTATATCTATTCAGCCAATTTGATTGCTTTAATTTTACTTTCATATTTTAATGAATAACTCTTTGAGTTAGTCTAAAACCAAGATTTTCTAACAGGTGTATGAAGTTTAAACTCAAGTAACTTCTATTAATCTTTATATTCCATTGATTTAATTTTATAAATCATTATTTTATCACAATGTATAGATGAATGAGACTAAAAGAATAATAATAAATATTACCAATACATAAACAATTCTTGAATCAGTCAATACAATTTAAGCTTCTTGCTTTTTCTTATGTCCATCTGATATATTAAGTTGATCAAAGAAGATAATACTTTCGCCATCTATAACTTTTAATTTGTATCTCCTAATAATATCAGTACCTATGGCATGTTTAAAATTAAAAGGTATTAATTAATTGTTATCTCCAAAAATTCTAGGCGGTCTATATCTTGTATCCATAATATGTTCTTCATATATTGCTGTATTTTTTATTCCTTCAATTATTGTTATCAAAAGATCATAGATTCCTACTGTAGGTTTAATTATAATTCCCATAATTCCTTAATAAATTCCTAATAAAAAACCCAAAAATCCACCATCATTTATTCCAGTAATTGGTCTTTCTAAAACTCCAATTATTGTTTAAAATAAAATCTTTCCAAAATTAGTAAAACCAATAATTAATCCTTCTCTAAAATTTTTGATTGCTCTATTCAATCTATTGCTTCTCTCTGACATATATTTCTTATCTAAAGTTATTTAATCAAGTATTTTCATTATTGTTCCAATTATTGTGTTAACTGTTTTATACACACCTGTTATTGAAGTGTGTATCAAAGTAACTGCACCTGTAAAGAATTTTTCACCAACTTTGTATCCACTTTTTCCTGTAACTAGAGCATAAATAGGTTCATAAAACATATCTATTACACCTGTTCCTAAATTAGAAATTAGAGAAACTGGATTTCCAAATATTTCAAAAGATCCTAACAATTTATAAATTTATGTTAAAAATTATCTAATAATATAATTTTATATATTTACCCTTTGTAATGCTTAGATATTCTACCAATAATTTCATTACTTGATCCAAATATATGTTAAGTCTTAAAAGCATTTAATCTAATTTTTGCACTATCAATTGAAGCTAATGTTAATCCCAAATCAGCTATAACTCCTATAGAAGATGAATTCATAACATGACCAGGAGAGGATCTAAATAATTTTATAAAATATATACTTTAAAGTAAAACAAATGTCAATTGGTTCTAACATTAAATTTTTTAGATATATCTTACTGATACTATGTAATTTTATTTTCTTTAATTATTCTTCTTATTTCTTTTATAAAGATCCTAATCCAAATTAGCTATTGCTTTATTATTAAACATCACTAAAATTACTATCCCATATAATAGCTGCTATTAAATTGTAATATTAAATTATTTAATCTAAAATTTAATGATCCAATCTGATTTCTAATGTATCTGTAAACATTTGAAGTGTATGTATATAAGATATCTTAAATTTAGATTAGTTTTATTATTGATCATTAGCTTGAATTTAATTTACTTAAGCATTTGATTCATTCTTAACAACAACTCTACTTCCATTATTCAAACTTGTATTTGGCTTTTTTATCTATTATTAATCCTTTCTGTATGTAGTCAAAACAAAAAAGGGTTATTGATTACCAAATATTTTTTTTTTATTAGGGGCCAATAAAACAGGAAATTAAGAGTTTATTATTTAATTATTAATGATAATTAAATCGATTGATAAATTTATATGCTCCTTTATTTATTTAATTTATGGTTTTTCTGCTAATAAATTTGTATTATCATCTTCATCTTAATTTTATCTTAATTAAAGATCTTTTTATATTTCTTCTATCAAAATATATTCTGCTTATATATTTTTAAAGCAAATTTATAATATTTCCTTTGGTGTTTCATCAATTATAGATATACCTACACAATTACTAATTGATATCTTATAACAAGTAAATTATTAATTTTATGTGTCATCTTCTTTTTCTTGTTAAATCTCTGATCCTTCTTTTTGAGTATCAGCTCTATCATTTGATTAATTTTAAAAAAATGTAACTACTTTAGTTTAATTAGATGGCTCAATTTTTAATTCAACCATTTCAGGTTTATCAATTAAAATAGCTCTCCATAAATATTCTACCCATTAATTTGCTTCATCAACAGTTTTGGTTTGAAAATGCAAATTTTTGGATAACATTTTTTCTGGGTTAATTTTTAATACAAATTCATTATCTTTACTTTCATCTACTTTTGCACCTTATAAATAATAAGATTCATGTTATTTCTTATCTGAAGAATAAACATTAAATTTTTATTTCAAAACATTGAGAGTACAATAATATTCTTTTGGTTTATCCAAATCTTTTATAAAAATATTTCCTTATTTATAAAGGTATTTCTTATTTACGATTTTTTTTCTCTTTTATGATTATCCAGGTAAAGTGAGTGGTTAAAAATTTTGAATCTTATCTATTTCATATTTTTCTGTTTAACCCTCTATTTCAACTTCTAAAACATGTTCTTTATCATCAATCCAATGATCCCAAGTAAAAGCTACTTTTTCTCCTGGTTATAAATAAGTAACCTCATTTCCTCCAGCAGAAAATTAAATTAATTCATAATCTTAAGAGCCAACAGGATTGGATGCTATTACTTAATGTATGCCTCTATTTATTTCATTATTTTATAACATTGGATTAGCTTAATTCAATTTATATCTTTAGGCTTAACTAGATGGTTATTGTTTGTATGTGATTTCATATTTAGTTAAATTTTCAATATAATAGGGTGGTATTATTGGATCTTCTGAAATGAATCTTATTAATAAGATTAAATCATCCATTAAAGTAATATTAACCTTTTAAAGTACATAAAGTTATGAAAAATCAAAATTATTATTATTCGAAATAGATTTTATACTAGGAATTTTTAATGAGATTTCTTAAACTTATAATTTAAAGTATCCACTCCAACCTGATATTAGACCTGTTGATTCTTAATAAAAAGATATCATTGCAAGAGCAGGTTTTTTTATATTTGACCAACTAAAATATTTCCAATCCCCTGGTTTCAATCTCAACAGATTATTATCTCTATATTCGGTATCTACTTAAACCATAGCTATGTTATATTATGTTTCATTATGGACTATAAATCTAGGTGTAATTGTTATTAATTTGCTTCTATGAAATGACCCAGGTCCACTTGTAATTGCCATACCAAATTCAAATTTCCCTTTAGCATCTGTACTTGTTCTCTTTTTACGATCTTTTGATTATAATTGCTCATGATCTTTTTTTAAAATTTCAGTAGATCCTATTATTTCTATAACATTGCTATTTTATAAGCTAACAGGATTACTCCATTTAGAAATATCTGATACTTCTTATTATTAATCATTTAATTATCCTATGGCAACTTATATTTTATTCATATTAGTGCTTGTAGCAAATTAATGTAAATTATGATATTAAGAATGTTATTCTATTTCTTTCTTTTATTTGTTCTTTTAATATGTTTTACTAAAGTTTTAATAATAAATCCAATCTTTTGAGGGAATATCTTAAGTCAATCCATATTCTCTGTATATCAATAACTTATTTGTTTCATTAAAAATTAAATAAGGACAATATAATACCAATTCCCTAGATTTAGTTGATCTTTTTTTTATTAGCACTGTCAAATATTAATCATTGCCTTTATGTTATTTAAATTTAATTTAAAATTTGTTCTCTTCTCCTAAACCGAAACCTCTCTTAAATATTTTAAATGGTTTTGTTTTAAACTCATCATCATTTTAAGCTTCTACTCCTTCAAATTTTTTTTAATTTTCTATTGAAAACTATACTTCAATATCATCATGATAATCTAATGTTTCACAATAGAAATGCTGATCAGGTTAAACAGCAAAAAATGGTAATTATTTTTCAGATTATTATTTATTTGAAGAAAATACTCCATAATGTATATTGATATCTCTTACAGTTGCATTTGTAAATTTAAAAATAGGATAACAAATCAAATAGGTTTCATAACAAACATCATTATCATCTTCACTTGATTTTTATTCCCCAACTTCGTTAAAATTAATCATAGCTTTCCTTTAATTTGTGATTTAATTTTTTATTTTTACACAATTAATAATGAAATAAAAGTTATTTCTTTTGATATTACTTTTCATCGAAGTTATAATATGATCATATTTGTAATTTAAAGGATCATGAATTTATTTAAATTCCGATTTAATTACAGGATTTGATTTACCTTAGGATGTTACAATTTAAGTTGCCTGTTCTAACACTTCAACTATTGAATTATCTTTATCAACTTCAAATTCTCCTAATGATTATTAATCACATAATAATGTATCTAATTAATAATATTTTCTTTCTAATTATTCATCTTATTGTCGATTTTATATTTTCTCTGGAGTAAATCTTACTTCAGTTTTATTTTCTAAAAATTCTAATGGAACAATATATATTTATTTAGGTTCTAATTTAACTGAAGTAGTTTCTTTCATTTAACCATTAACTTGAAAACCTAATTCTAAAGAAGTACTTAAATAATTGTATATTTTCACTGTACTTTAAATTTATATTTCTTTCGAACCATTTTATGGATTGATATTAACATTAACTTGAATATAGATATTTCTCTCTTCATTTATTTTCTTGGTATCAGCTAAGAAAACTCCAGTGATTTTATCGATATTAGTTTTAAATGCATCAAAAGTACCTTTTTTACCACTATGAAGATCTTACTATTCATTCTTATGCTGTCTTACCAATGGATAAAATTTCTTGCCCACAAAATCAAAATTAACATACTTTAAAGTTTTATAGTTACTGGTATTCTTTCCATTTTTTTAACTTCTAAAGTTTATCTTACTTTTTGTAAATTAAGATTAATTCATATTTGAATTTTAATTTAAATTAGAGTATTAATTCTAAGTTTATGGTTGAGTTTAATTTTATTGCATTAAAGATTTTGATTAAGTACTTTTATTTGGGAGATCTAAAGTTGTTCTTCTCATATTATTGTTATTATTATGAATTAAATCTGTTATTTTATGTTCATCCTCTTCATCATCTCTTTCCTTCAAAAAATTGTTTGGTTTCAATACTACTAAATTTAATAACATTTATTATTAATCTGATTTATGTTTCTTAAAATCCTTTGCCCAAAGTTCTTTTTATGTATTGCATGTGTATTCTTAATCTTCTTATATAATTCTAACTTATTAATCCTTTTTTATATCTCTAATTTCTAAAGCATATCCACATCGGTTGAAAATTTTGTATGGTTCTTCATCCTCCATTTTTTTGTTGTAAATTTTCAAAGCTTCCATAGCAACTTCAACCAAAGCAGGAGTGATATTAATGTTTAATGAATTTGTATGATCCTTAAGATAATAAGGAACTTCTTCACCTTTGAGTTCCTTTTCTATATGATTTGCTATTGTAATTTTTTTTGAATCTCTATCAATAGCCCTATTTTCAGGAGGTTTTTCAATTTAAGATAATGTTGTGATAGTAAATTACCAAGGTTCAAGAAATGGTTCAAAATCCATTTTTCTTTTATTAAAATAATCTAATGATATACAAGCCAATAGATTTAATTAAGTCTTTTTATTATCTTTGAAATCTGACATTCTTAAATTTTTCAATTCAAATTATGCTGCTTTTACTCCATCTTTGTTTTTTAATATTTAAATTTTTAGCATTTCTATAATGATTTTCTTTGTATTTATACAATCATCAACAAATGGATCTGAAGGTTATGGATTTCTATAAAAAACATATTTATCTTCAGGAGATTTCCTAGCAGAAAAGATATTAATGATTTATTATAATTCAGCAATATCTCTAATTGATAGACTGAAATTGTTTTTTAATCTAATAGAATTTAACAAACATATTTCCCATTCGTTTTTAGATTAATAGCTTTTATTTTTCTATTTATAATCAGTATAATATTCTTTAACATAAACTCCTTCTTCTGTAATTACTTCTTAATTTTATAGAGCATTTCTATAAAAATCTACAGAGTACTTCATTTTAATACAAACTTTAAATGGTTCTAATAGAGTTCTTAAAGGTGGATGAGGCGGTATAATTAATTTTTCATTTGTTTTTTTAGATTATTCATCTTATTTTAGATTAATGATATGGTTTGTTTAAAAGATGTATAATTTTTTTAAAGTAGCTTCAATATTTTTTTCACAACTTCCAGGTCCAAACCAACTGTCACCTAACCATGTTTATGAATAATTGCAATCTAAGAGAATACCTATAGATTTTGACTTTTCAAAAGATTCTTTTTCTAAATCTCCTAAAACAATTGCCCAAACATTAACAACATTAATTTCAATTACCATAGGTGGAAAATTATTAAAATGGGGATTTCTTTGATAAGGTTATTTATCACTTCCATTGTAGGGTTATCTAAAAAATTGAACAACTTCCACTATAAAGTCAATCAATAAAATAATGTTTTTATTTTCAAGTTTAATTTTAATTAATTTTTCTCCATCTGGTTTAGTCTTCATAATGAAATATAAATCTTATTTTTGTTAATCTTCTCTTTGTTACTAATATGGTCTTTATTAATAGAATTTTTGATTGGTAATATCATGATTTTCATCTCCAAAATAATAATCATAATCATCCTGATCATCCTAATGATTGTTATTTTCTATTGTAATAGGTAATACTTATCTTTCTCTAAAATTTAGCCATCTTCTTTAAAACATAGGTTCTGGGCTATATTCAAGCAACTAATCAAGTTTCGCTTATATTAGTTGTTACTATTCTTTTTCATTTTAAATATTTTCTAATTAACTTTTATTTTTTCCTTTTGGACCATTTGTTCTCCTTGTAGACTTTCTACAACAAAATATTTTTTTAACATTATATACAAACTATTACCATTTGCTCTTTTTTTTTTTTTATTTTTTTGATGTCTGTTATGAAGCTTAAGATTATTACTCTAATTCATTTTAATTCTCTTTTAAATCTAATGCAGAATTAGGTATTTATTATTCCACTATAATTTATTTATTTTTATCTTTCTCTTTTGGATTTGATTCTTAATCAACTTATTCTAAATCAAAATCATCAAATAAATTTGTTGGAATTTTGTTAAACTCTTCTTACTTAGTATCAGACATGGATTAATCTTCATCTCCTTTAAATTAATCTCCTATAAGTGAAAACAGAATTTCCTTTGAATGTTTCATAGTTGATGATTTTCTAAAATCAGAAAGTGTCAATTATTAAACACTTAATCTCATAAATTTACCTCCACTTTCTCTCATCATAAATTAATAATTCAAGGTTTGTAATTTGGCAATAGCAATTGATGCAGGATTTTTATATAACAAATTCTTGTCTAATTAATCTTGAGATATTCCTTTTGATTAATAATGTTTTCTACAATCTTCCCTAGTTCCTTTAAAAAATTTTGCAATAGCTTTATTGATATTGATATCTAAAACCATCCAAATATTCTCATTAAATTCACTATAGCCTGATAAATCTCCTTTTATTGTTTATGGTTATTCTCCCAAATTATCCATAAAGAATTTACAAATTGTACAATAATCCAGATCATAAGCATATATATTTAACTTTTAAATATCAATTGTAACTATGATATAAATAAAAAATATACTTCTCATAGGTTTCACTTCCTAATCACAAAATAGTTTATCTGGTGTCTCATCACAAAAATCTATAAATAATTACAATGAAACTTTATCTTCTGGAGCCTTAACAAACAAATCATTAACATCTGTTCCAGGACAACATCTAATTTCTAAACCCCAAACATATACAATTTATCTAATTCTTTAATCTAGATTTTCCTCATCATTTTATTAATTATTATTTATTTCTTCAAAAATTGTTTCTTCTCCCATTGCTGGCTCTTCAAAATATTTAGCTTCTACAAAATTTTCACTAATATTTTATTGTTCCTCTATTTCATCATCAAACAATCCTGTTTTAATTAAGTTATCATATTTCTAACCCCAGATTCCACTGAACCAATACCCAACTTTTTTGAGTTGGATATATAATGCTTAATTAGATAATGAACTTCTATATCCAATTCCTAAAGAGTCTAATGCAACTAAAGAAAATCTAAACCCAAATTCAGGATTAACTTCTTCTTCTTTAGGTTAAGTTTCAAAACTTAAATTTTAAGTTTCAGTTTCTTTCAAAAATTCATTTCTGACTTCATTTGTAAGTGTACTTGAAAATGATTTGATTAGAACTTTCCTTAGATAATATTAAATTTCATTTGTATTTCTTTTCAAAAAAACAATCTTAGCTTTTTGTATTCTTACACCACAATATGTAGCATATTTTCTAATTTTTATTAAATCTGAATTATTGCAGATTTAAATTTAGCATTATATCTAATTTCCATTTTAATCATCATAATCCTCTAACATAGTTCTATGTATTCCACTTATTACAGCAGTGTCAAATAACCTTACTTATTACATCTTTATATTAATATTTTTAAATAATTAACTACTTGATATTTATGTTTCTATGAATTTCATATTCATTAAATAAACTACTTAATCTTTATAATTTAACATTAACACAATTTAATTAATTTCTAGCTCTATTCTATTTTTTTCCTAAAATAAATCACTTGTTATAGTAGTCTAAGTTTAAGCTTCTGATTATTATTTGTGATCAACTTCATTAAAATCAGGCCAAAATCCATTTTCTCTCATCCATTTTATAAATTATTATTTTTTAACTTCTGCTGCCAAATTACCTATATCAAATATCTGTCTCATTTTTGTAATTATATCTGGATCCAATATAAGGTTTAATTATTTTAAATTTACTGATACTCTTGATTTTTATGAATCACTCGTCTATAAAAAGTAAACATCAGGACCCAAATCATCTTATACTTTCATAAAAGTTAATAATAATCTATGTTTTTCTTTACATTTTTAACAATATTTATCTGTAAAATACTCTTTAATGTATAATTCACTTTCAAAAGCCTCTTAATAATTATTATCTAAAAATGAATGCTGTGGAGAAGGAATTTAAAATTAATCCTTCTTTTAAGAAAATATTGTTTAAGGAATTACATCTTCTTATAATTCATCAGGAGGAGCTTCATTGTCTTTCTATTCTTTATCATTATCAATATTTTATTATTACGGATATTGTCCCTCATTATTAGAGTTCTTTATATTTGATTTATTTTCATTTAATTTTGAATTTCCAACTTATTCTATTTCTGATTATTAATTCATAACTCTTTCTAAATCTTCTCCAAAACTTGATTTCTTTTATTCTTTTTCACAATCAGAATATTTAAGTAATTGTTTAGCTAAGACCTTCAATGGTACAAGTAATTCATAAGAATGGCAGTTAATATTTTATAAGGCTAATTCCTATATAGCTAAATGCTGAATGCTATCATAAAATTTAACTTCCTTTAAATAACTTAAATTTAAAAAGTAAAATGAAAAGAAACGATTTTCATGACAACTAGTCTTTCCTAATTTCTCTAAAAATTCTTATGTATTTACAGTAACTGATAATTAAAGACCTTCCATATCAATTTATAATTAACTAATCATATATTCTTTCAATTATTCTTAACAATCCTTATTTATATATTATTGTTATTGCTTATGTTCTTATTTTTAAACTTTGCTTTCAATTACATCATAAAAATCATATCCTTTAGCTTGCCAAATAGAAACTAATTACAAAATTAAAAATAAATGTTTAGTTGATAGTTTGATATCTAAAAATGGTAATTAAATAGTTATCATTGATGTTTTTGGATATATTTTTTTCTTAAATGTCATTTTACTTTTACTTTTTGTTCTATTAGATTCTAATGTTATCATTTTTTATGATTATTCCATTCTAATTTTTATTGGAAGTGTTTCAATAATTGTTTCAATTCCAGGATCTCCATTTTGTTATTCATTTTTTCTTAATTTCCTATATTATATTTTAAAAATATTTTCCTTACTCTCCCAATCATAATCTTATACAAATGCTAATCTTAAACAATCAACAGAAAAATAAACAGGTTTTAAATTTTAATTTTCCTCTTAATTTTAATTTTATTAAGCAACTCTATTAACAGTTTATCTAGTTTTTAAATCTTTTAGATATTAACTAACTTATCCATTTGAATTTTCTGCTGGATAAATATTAACAACACTATTTTCATGTTCTCTTTTAAATATTTTAATTTATTTCAAATGTATTAAAAGCATCTATGTTTTTATCTAATATTAAAGTGGCAAATAAATATTTATTCTTCTTATTGAAAAGGAGACATTTGTATTAGATTGAACTCGTTTTGTTTATATTAAAAAGTTATCAAAATATTTTGAATGTTCTTAATTATCATTCTAAACAGTAGATTTATCAAAAAATATTAAATTTTGTAATGATATTAATCTTTCATAAAGAGGCTTGCAAAGTGTTATACTAAGTGGACCTACTTGGATATCTAAATAAACTTAAATTGTTTTTTCTAATGGATCTAAATCAAGGATTTTCTTTTATCTTTCCAATTATTCTGAACTCATTAATACTTTAATTCCTTCAGATATTTCAACAATTTTTAAATAATGGCTATTGAATTTATTAGTATCTAATAAAATCAATTTTTGAATTTATGCCTTCATTAATTATTTAAATTAACCTTATTTTACTAATTCTAATTTTGTTTCAGTAATTTCTAAATTTATTAATATTTTCTCTTTTAATAATTCATCTAATTTCCAATCTTCTTATTTATTTATTTCAGATGATTTGACAGTTACTTTAGTTATTTTTTATAGAAAGTTATTTTTAATATGATCCAAAACTTTTGTTTAAAGAGACTTTTTTTAATTTAATTCTTATTTGAATACGTTAACTTACTAATGCAGATTTCTTAATTATTATAAAATTTAATTCTCTTATATTAATACATTTATTTTTTTAACATCCAAAATGATAGATATTCTTGTATTACTTTCTTTTTCTTTCATAAAAGATAAATATGAATCAATAACATTCCTACTAAATTTTAAATTACTAGCATGCTCCATATTAAAATCATTTTAAAATATCTTAAACCATTCTTAAGCTTCTTTTTAAATTTTTTGATCTTTAGGATTATTAGATCTCAATATATTTCTCATCTCTAATATTCTATCAATTGCTATGCTTCTCAATATTAATATTTATGATATAGTGTTTTCTTATTCAAAATCTCCCATTAATTTATTATCTCTCTTTGCATCATGTTATTTTAACATTTTCTTTGTATATAATTTTATATATAATTAGACTTTAAAGTAATTAGTTATTCCTTATTTCCTTACTTTTGTTCTTATATATTCTTTCTCAATTACTCTTCTTATTATATAGACCCACCAATTTTTGGCAGTTTTTCCATATTTTGGTTTTTCTTTTGGTCTGTCATTTCGATGATTAACTATGTCTTACATTGCTCTTAGCAATAATCTTATTTGCCTTTGTTTTAAGTAAATTAGAACATCAGAAATTGTTGCAATTTTTAATTCTATCTCCATTTATTCAGAGAAGACTAAGCTAAACTCTATTTTAAGAGCTAATTTCTTAAGAATATGAACAGCTTTCTTTTCCTCTTATTTTGATTAATTTTAATCTGGAATAAAGGATTCAGGCTGTAATTGAGATGGGAGAGCATTATCAAATACTTCAAATAGTAAAAAGATGTTATCTGCAACAATCTTTTTTCGAATTTCATCTTTTTTAGGTTTAATATCATCTTGATTTATAAGTAAAGTTTAAAATCCAAATCCAAACTTTACAATTTCATAATTATTGATTTGATAAATGAAAACTATGTCTAAGTTGTTTATTTTTAGTACAAACTTTTCAAATATTTTGATAGCAAATTCAGCAAAAAAGTTATTACCTGATGAGCCATTTGAAAATGCATCTTCTTTCTAAACAGTTTCATCAAACTTTGCCAATACCTCTTTTTTAAGTTTTTCTAAATGGTCTTTATACTACTCTTTATTAAAATCACTCATCTCAATTTTATTAGATAGAACAATTTTCGCATTTGTTATTTCTACACTTATTTCTTTTGTTTTTAAATTGTTCCATGGAATTATCAATTTAACTTCTCCAAATGATGAATCAATCACTTCTATATCCATACCAAACTACATCAATATATCATTTCTCAATTCTAATTATTTCAAACATACTTCGCCATCTAAAATTTAAACATCTATATTCTGAGATTCAAAATTTTTTATATAAGGTTTAAGAAACTAACAAAATTTACTTTATTTTTATTACCTTTGATAATAGAAGAGATGAAAACCATTTTACAGGCTTAAAGCTAAACATTTTAATTATTTTATTAAAGCATTAATTTTTATATCATCTTAAGAGTTATCATTCTAATTATCAACAGAATATATTGTAACAATAACCTATAATACTTGTATGAAATAAGACAAATTTATTAATTTTTACATCATACTAAGTTATTTTTCGCAATTTGGTAACTAATAATAAAATATACATAATTTGTATAATATTATTAGAATTGCCAATTTATGAGAAGATGATTATATCATTGAGTTGCTCTATTTGTTGTTAATAATTTAGTCAGCCAATTAGATTAAGCACTGATCATATGGAAAACAAAGAAAAAAAGGGAATAATACTTTCTGTTGTGTCAAGGAAAGGTAGAAATTGAAAAAACTTTTATATCAGAAGATGATTTGATTGAGATTAATGAAATTGTAAATAGAATTAAAATTATAATTGAAATTAACTTTAATTTACATTATAATGTTGATACTAGAAGGTTTATTAAAAAGTACACCTATATTTGTAGAACCTTATGTTATATAAGTTTTTTGAATACTTATAAGCATATGCTGTAAAAAAACTTATTGAAATTATCTTATTGTTTACTATCAATGTTGTAATATTACGTAATTAAAAATCATCAAATTATATCTTGGTTAGTATTAAAAAGGCTTAAATTTGTAGAATAAAATCTCAAAAAATTGGCACCATTTAGACAAGGTGTTATGATAATTGATGTTTCAAATGAATACCCTAAACTCCCATTTACTTAATTAATATTAGTCATTATTTTATATTTATTAATTGATTATAGTTTACATATACAATAATAATAATAACACTAGGAATTAAATTATATACTACATTATCAGTTATCTTGATCCCAACTGTGAAGATCTAATGATACTTTTTATCCTTAGTAATAGTCTTATTAAGGACTGTATTAATAAGTATTATATTTATTATGGCATCTTTTTTCGTTAGAATTCAAAGTTGGCCATTGTCCCAAACTCTAAAATTATTTACTATCTTAATGAGTTTAGTGACTTCTTTAAACTTTATGTTTCTTTTATTCAACATCATCTGACTCTTTTAATAGTTCTTCAATAAATCTAACATTAGCATCAAGTTCATGATGGCTATTTTCTTCTTAAATCATAAAAAAATCTTTATTTTAAGGATAGGTTTGAAATGATTGAAATGTCAAGGATTGAGATTATACATCTCCAATCATTTGACTAGGATTTTACATACCTGCTAAAAAACCTAAATTATTTTAAAAAATTACTATCAGCTTTAATGATTTGGCTACTACTATTACTTTATTATTAAGCATAGCTTGGAAGGGTAGTTGATTGAGATTTCTAATGATGAATTCCAAGTTGCATTTTCTATTATGGAATAGAAGATCTAAAAGATGAATATCCTTTAGGATATATAATGCAACCTTTCATTTTAATCATTACATCACTATAATTCTCAGCATATTTAACCATATATTCTTCAAAAGTAGAACAGCCGAATTGTGTATATTCAAATGTATTTTATATATGCAATTAAAGTATTTATAGAAGTTAAAATGCAGGAATACCATTTGTATACTAATTAAGAATTTACTTTAAAGCTTGCTTTAAATAAAATATAATGTTTTACTTCAATTTTTAATTAATATTCAGATACATGAATTGGAGGTAGAAACTAAAGTTGTTGCTATTATTATTATTACTATTGCTATATTTATTATTATTAAAGTTATGGATTAGATGAACTTTATTATTATTACAAGGATTACTTTTAAAAATATTTAAGATCAATTTTAACTTATTGCATTTATTGATCATCTTCTTATTCTTATTTAATATCATTTGTGTCATCATAATACTCATCTAAAATAAGTGAAGCATAAGTAGTTCCATCATTTATAATACTAATCCCATCAATACCTTATATTAAGCATTTTAATTTAGTGAATCCTAATTCATGTAAATCAAAAGTAAATTAAATTTTACGTTAAATCATCTTTGGTAATCTTGCTAAACTAACACCTTTAGTATATTCATTGAGAATATCTATAATTGCTTATTGAACAGCCTTTAATTTATTCTATTTTTCATGCTATTGTTATTATTTATCAATAGAAAGTTATTGATTTTCCTCATTTCCTAATATATTTTAAAGGATGAATTAATCTTAAAATTAATCATCAAAAATATTTAAGAAATCATTGAAATCAAAGGCTATATTAGTATTTGGTTTAATTAATAAGGTTTTATAGTATATTAGGACATTCCTATTAATTGCTTCCTATATCATTAAACATAAAACACCTAGAGAGCAAACCCTTAATTCTAGAGGACCACAACATTTTAAAAGCTATGCGCATCCATATTTACCTCCAGGTATAGCTTTTTGAATTGATTTCGGAGGCTTTATTTAACTCTTTTTACTTCTTTTTCTATTTATAAGTAATCTAATAATACTTTTATGTAACATTAGAGGAATAACTTTGATTATGATATTATTCCAAACTCTTTTATCCATTTTATAATCCTGACTCTACACTTCTTATCCATTTAGAATTATCTTAGTTTTTTTAAGTTGGGACTGATTGTGTTCCACTTTATTTGGAAGATTATGATTAATAATCAGATTAATTTAAATCTCCAAATGATTAAGTGTTTTAACTTGTATTTAAAGTAAGATTAGTATCAAAAAAATCTTTTAAAAATTGAATAAATGATCTCCATTAACATTTATAAATGGAACTCATTTATTAGGCATCCATCATTTTCCAATTGATATTGTCTTCTATTGTAAATAATAGCAATGATTCATTATTAATTTATTATGAAGCTGAAAGAGATGCATTATTATTTTCAGATTTGTTTACTAAATCAATCGGACACTTAGTCATTTTTATTATACATTTCTCATCAATCCATTTATTCTTATTATATTTTTTTACATTAAATTAAATTAATCCATTAGAATCTTGTAACTTATAGAATCCAGCTAAATAATGGTTCCAATCTTAAATGTTTAATTTTAAACCGTAACATTCCTTAATTCTACTCATCACTAATTTATCAGTTGGTGTCATCTCATCTTTTCTAATATTTAATAAAACCCAATATAATGATTATAAACTAATATGATCTAATTGAAGACTAATAAATTAAATTGGATCACTATCTCCAAATTTTCTAATAGTAACATTGATCATTTTTAATTTCTCTAATTATTGTATTATATCTTTTGATCTAAATGTTAATTGATTCTTACTGATTGATTTTATATATTTCATTCTATTTTAAAAATTTCTAAAAGTCATTTAAATGAATCATTAAGTCTCCTTTATTTGCTTATTTGAATAAATGATGCTCAATTTTTGCTAAAATAGAACTTTAATAAAAGGTTTAAAATACTCATTTTAAAAAATCATAGGTGTTTCTGTTTAGATATTAATTAAATTGAAGTTAACAACATCAACAGATGGCAAGTTGCTATTTATCTATTTAAATCTTTCTTTATGCTGTTCATGTCTAAGTACATGAGCATCTTATTTAATTTTGTTTGATTCAATCGAATCAGATGTTTCAATTAATTCTCTAGAATGATAAACTCTTTTTCCTTTATTATGTATTTTCTTATCACATTACTCACATAGAATTTGACCACATTAATTACAATTTATCTTGGCTCTAGTTTCTTCACATTCATCACAATATTTTTGTTACATTTAATTTATTATATAATCATGATGTAATTGCTTTATTGATGAAACTTGAAATTGAATTAAAGTACTTTTCTGGCTCTCTAGACCAATTAGTATTATGATCACCATCCTCAATGACAAACTGTTATATTTTAAAATGAAATACCTTTTCAATAAATTTAGCTCTTTAAGCAGCATTTTGTAATTAAGCCATATGTTAGACTGGTACAATTTCATCTCTCATTGCTAAAATTAAATAATTATAATAAATTACAATAAATGAATAATATTGGTTATGTAATCTGACCAATTTTTTAAATTGACAACCAATGATTTTTAAGAAGAATAGATTTAAAAAACTTCAATTTAGGAAATATAACATCAACCATATCATCTATTGATGTAAAAGTATTTTCTAATATTACACCTCGAATGCCTTTTGCAATATTTTAAGTCATTGCATGAATTGCTACTGCTCCACCTAATGACTTTCCATGTACAAATATTTTTGATGAATCAATATCATTTCTATGAAATAAATAATTAACTATAGATTCTCCATCTAATTAAAGACCTTATTCTGAAGGCTTTCCTGTACTATCTGAATATCCTCTATATGCAATAATTAATATATTGCATTTCACATTGGAAAAATATAATTCTAAAAATTATAATCTAGTTCCAATATCTGAAAAGAATATTATGTTTTAAAAATACTTCCAGCATTTTCATGTAAAAAAATTACAGTAGGTACATTAATACTGTCATTCTATTTAATGAGCCATCCTTTTAATTTTTATCTATCAAGTGTTCCTATTTCTACATCTTCATATTATAAATTTCTCTCTGATGGATTCCTGAGGCCATTCATATTTTAACTAGGACTTTGGGGTAATCCTTAAAATGCTTGTTAAATTAGTAAGATATCAAACCTGGTAAATAGATTAATGAGTTTTGTTGTATGTAGAGTAATCCCAAGATTCCAATAGTCAACATTAATGCAACAATGGCAATATTACCAAATAATGATAATAAGCTTTGAATAAACTCCATTAATTATTTTATTTAATAAATTATAATTTTATAATCATTTTATTAATAATTATGTACATAAATTATTACAAATTTCAATATTTACAATTTATGAATTTTTATTTCTAAATTTATTATTGAATATGATACTTCTTTTCAAAATCATATTTTGCTAAATAAGTTTTTCTTAATATTGGGCATGCATTTTCAAGAAAAGCCACTTAAAATGCTGAATTTTATCCAAAAAGAAAAGTACTTAAAATTATTTATGAATTTTTCAAAAGAAATAAACCTTTATTTTAGATTTTCAAAATTACCTTGAAGTATTTTCACATCTTCAGAATCATCAAGTTCAAAATTAAAAATTGTGTACACAATCCATGGTAATGAAAATATTAGAATTATTGGGCAGTATAATATTTCTATGTATAATTTGGCCTTTAATATATATTCTATATTCTTTACTAGTTTGCAATTCAAATGAACTCTAATTATATGATAAGTTATTATTCCAATAAATATTATAGTTAAAATCGATTATATTGCCCAAAATAATTTTGTTGAAACTTATGTGAGAATATCAAGTTGACAAATATTTAATTTTACAAAAATTAATGATGAAGCAATTATTGGCAATCCAAATGCAATTATAGCTTAGAGCTGGATTTAATAATTAATACTGTAAATTAATTAGTCTTTAGATATTCTAAAGCTATTTAAATTGGGTATCTAGTCAATAAACAACTTTTTTATAAAATCAAGATGGTCCAAAGAAAACTTGAAAGAGTCAAACATTATTCCAAAAACAATGTCCAAATGCACATTTAATTGTTAAAGTCAATAATTAATAGTATTGTAACTTAAAACCATTATTGTTTATTTACTTATAGATTACATCAAATTTGTATATAATATCCCCAACTCCAATTGATATAGTTTCATTTTATAATGAATCGAAATGTCTAATATGAAGAATAAAGAAGAAGCAAATCCTATAAATGCTTCAATAATAATCGGAATTCCTATTTCATAGTTATGCATTAACCAAATTTTATAAATTGTATGATATTTTTATTATTATAAATATTAATCCAATCAAAAGAAATATAATGACATTATATAAACTCTCTATTTGTAATCATAATTCTGATTTATAAACTTTTTTTTATTGAGAAATGATTATTAAATAACTATTTATTTGAATAAAATTATCAATACTGGTGTATAATTTAAATTAAAATATAAAAAATGGGAAATCAAAATCCACAAGGTTTTAATCCATTCAATCCTAATCAGGGTAGAGGAAATAATTAAGATAATAATAATAATTAAAATAAAGATTAACAGAAAAAACCACCTCCTCCTCCCTAAAGAGTTGGAAGGAAAAAGCTTAGAAAAGGTGTTGAATAAGCATCCAAATTACCAGCAGGTATTTATGATATAAATTGTTATAGCAACACCAATTGCTAAGTGTAGATTAAAATTATTGAAAAATGAAAGAATTAAAGATTATTTACTATTAGAATAAGAATTTATTGAAAATTAATAAAGATTAAAGCCATTAAAAGAATAAGATTAAGCTGAATCAGAAGAATAGAAAAAGATAGAATAACTTAGAGGAACTCCAATGATGTAATAATATTTAATAATATCAAAGTGTTGGAACATTAGAAGAATTTGTAAATGAAAATCATGCTATTGTATCGTCCTCAGTTGGTCCAGAAAGTTATTCAGGAATTATGAGTTTTGTTGACAAAGATTAATTAGAGCCTGGTTGTTCTGTTCTTTTGAATTAAAGATGTAAATTAATCTTTGATTTATTAAAATAGCTTATGCAGTTGTTGGTATAATGCAAGATGAAATTGATCCACTTCTTAATGTAATGAAAGTTGATAAAGCTCCACTTGAATCTTATGCTGATATTGGTGGTCTTGAATAATAGATTTAAGAAATTAAAGAAGCTGTTGAACTTCCTTTGACTCATCCTGAAATCTATGAAGACATGGGAATAAAACCACCAAAAGGAGTTATTTTATATGGAGAACCAGGAACTGGAAAGACACTTTTGGCTAAGGCTGTTGCTAATGAAACTTCGGCAACATTCTTAAGAGTTGTTGGATCAGAATTGATATAAAAATATCAAGGAGATGGTCCTAAATTAGTTAGAGAATTATTTAGAGTTGCAGAAGAGCATGCTCCTAGTATAGTTTTCATTGATGAAATTGATGCTGTTGGTACTAAAAGATATGATTCACATTCTGGTGGTGAAAAAGAAATTTAAAGAACAATGCTTGAATTATTAAATTAATTAGATGGTTTTGATTCAAGAGCAGATGTTAAAGTTATACTTGCTACAAATAAGATAGAATCTCTTGATCCAGCATTGATTAGACCTGGACGTATTGATAGAAAAATAGAATTTCCATTACCTGATGTAAAAAATAAAAAGAAAATATTTTAAATCCATACTAGTAAAATGAATCTAGGAGAGGTATCTTATTTTAATTATTATATTTAGGATGCAAATTTAGATGAATTTATTAATGCTAAAGATGAATTATCTGGAGCTGATATTAAAGCTATGTGTACAGAAGCAGGTTTACTAGCTCTTAGAGAAAGAAGAATGAAAATAAAATAAGAAGATTTCAGAAAAGCTAAAGAAAAGATTTTATATTTGAAAAAAGGAAATATTCCAGAGGGTCTCTATATTTGAGATAATATCTATAAATACATATTTATCAAATATCAAAATCATCATCAATAGGTTTTTTAGAAGTTTTAGCTGTTTCTTATGTACTTTCAGCATTCATAGGTTTATATTTTAATTAGAATATTTAACTTCTTGTACTACATGAAGTAAATGGTTTAACTCTTTGCATATCATTCAATTTAGATTTAATTGATTATCTACTTAATTATCTATAGTCAGTTGAATCTGCAGAGACAGGATTAGGTAGATATTACACTTAATGAATAGGATTTAATTCTACATGGACATGAGTCCTGTCAAAAATAGGTCTACTAAATTCACCTCCTACTACTTTTGTTGGTTAAACATATAATACTTTTTTCCTGTATGATATAAAATATTATACTATTAGAGTCGTTAATATTTTTCAACTTAAGATTCTTCATGCTCTATATGATGGTATGCCTTGAACTCCTCAAAATAAGTAGGAACTCCTGGTGCATAACTAAAAGGTTATCCTGGATAATGTTTAAAGTTTCTCTTCTTAAACTCTTGCCAATATTATTTTTTATTAGGAAAATCGAATTCTTTCAACCATCTTTTGGTTTTATCATAAGTATTTAACACAGTGTCTTCCTAAAATAAAGAAGTTTAATACGGGAAATTTAAGTATAGGGAATTCAGGTTGGAAATATTCCAGAGCTTTGTTTGCTTTTCTAAAATCTTCTGAGTGATGTACTGTTCCATCGGATTTAAGCATTCTGTCTCTCTTAATATCTTCAATTCTTTGTAATATTAGAGATTTTCTTTTATCAACACTATATTATCTAAATTCTTTTTATTATTATTTTAATATTGATCGTATCTAATCTTGGTTTAGTGATACTTCTTTTAAGTCAATTACTTTTTTTTCAGTTGCATTGTTCCCTAACATATTTACAAAAATTTTGTTTATTAATATATATTAATAATAATTAATATTTGAAAGTGGAACATAATCTCTACAATATCAAGATTAAGTAATATTTCACTTAAATACAATTTAATGATAAATACTATGCTTTTTATCAAATAAAAAATAATGGAAATATAAGATATTAGTCGTTTTCAAATAAATAATTAATATGTAATATATACTTTTTATTTATATGTTTATCATTATCTGATATCATTATTTTCCGTATTCCTTTTGGGTCATTAAATTGTAAAAATCATCAAAAGTAACAAAACCATCATCATCTAAATCTGCCTTTTTGAACATATGTTAGATCTCTTCATCTGTCATTTCTTCTCCTAAATCTTATGCTACTCTTTTTAATTCATCCCAGGTAATGCGACCTTAAAATATTAATAACTTTTACCTTCCTTGTTCCAATCATACAGATTAAAGACTTTTTGGATTTGCTCTCTAGTATCTTTATCACTAACCTTTGCTGTAGCTAAATGCAAAAATTCTTCAAAATCAATTCCTCCACTATTATCAGTATCTAATTCTCCCAATACTTAATAAATAAATTTATTGTGGTAGGTTTTGATTCCTGAAGCTTCAAAAGCTTCTCTTAATTCTTATGGATCGATTGATCCAGATCCATCATTATCAAAAATGTCAAATGCTTGTTTTACTTCCAAAACTTCCTCCTTTGTTAGATGAGGTGGTTTAGCATAATCTTCAGCATTAAAAACTTTAGGTCCTTTTTAAGGTGGAGGAGGAGGAGGAGCCTTCTTGGGATCTACTTTTTAAGCAGAGGATGGAGCCTATCTTGACATTTTATTTATTTTTATTTATATTATAATTAGATACTAAGGGAAGAATTTATATATGATTTGAAATTTATTGCTTGTTTATTTTAACAACTTTGAATTTCATATTTCCTTATTTGTTAGTAAAACTAATTGAACTTAAAAGTTTTATTTCAATAACCTTCCAAACATTAAATCATAGAGATAAGACTAGAAAAAATGTTCTTCCAATTTCAAAAGTTAAATTAAATTTAATTCTGTTCTTCTGTTAAAAATTGAATATTTCATAATTACTTTAATTGGGGATTTGTAAGATCATTTTCAATTAACATGACATATAGACACAATAATTGTTATAAGAACTAAGAATAGAATATAAAGATAATATTGATTTTAACTATTTTGATAATATACATTATTAATACTAAATTCTTAACTTTTATTTTAAGTGAGTAAAATAACAAATATCTAAAATGGAAACACATGGTAGTATACCTAATTATGAAATTACTAGAGTAATTGGTTCAGGGGCTTTTGGTATATAGTTTTAGTTAATTAAAAGGCTATGTTTTTGAAGCATTTGATACAAAAAGACGCTAAAAAGTAGCTCTAAAAAGAATGCAAAAAGTTGGTAAAATATCAAGTAGAGAATGTGATATATTAATGCAATTAAAAACATGTCCTAATGTTGTTAAATTGATAGTATATTTATTGAAATATTAAGGATGTTTTCTACAGCAGAAGTGAAGATAATAAAATGGTTTAAAACATCATACTAGAATTTATGGATCAAAATTTAGAAAATATTATAATTGATCATAGAAAAAGAAAGGATTACTTTGATACCAAAACCCTTAAGAACTATCTATATTAAATGCTAAAAGGCCTTGACTAAATTCATAAAAAACATATTGCACATAGAGATTTAAAACCGTAATTTTTTTATTTTATTTAAAATAGAGAAAATGTATTGATTCAAGATGGAACTCTTAAATTATGCGATTTTGGAAGTGCTAAAGAAATGACAGGAACAACTATAAATACACCTTATATTGTTTCAAGATTTTATAGAGCTCCTGAATTATTGTTAGGTGTCACTAATTACACTGAATCTATTGATATTTGGGCATTTGGATGTATAATGGCTGAATTAGCTTTGTTGGAACCTTTTTTTATAGGGAAATCTGAAGGAGATTAATTATTTTAAATTCTGAAAATAATGGGATCTTTTACAGAAGAAGATCTAAAATATTTTGAAAAAGTAGTTCCTTTTGATATTAATTTGTTTCAAGAGTTTCCTGAATACAAAGCTATAAATTTGAATGATAAGTTTAGTAATGTAGAGGATAAAGGAAATTTTGTAGACTTATTAAAGTATAAATTTATGTTATTTATTAATAGAAAATTACTAAAATATATACCTGAATAAAGACCTACTGCAAGTTTAGCTCTGCAACACTAATATTTTAAAGATTTTATAGATTAGTGATATATCAAAATTGTTTTTAATTAAATCATGATATCCTTTAATGTAATCTTTAATAAACTACTTATTTCCATGAATCAATATCATCAATAGGCTAATATTAATTTACTTTTTAGACTATTTATTTTATTATTTCTTGTTTAAAATATGGCTATTTCCAGTCATTTAAGAAGAAAGAATCCATTTATTCTTTAGTTCTAAAATGAATTTTATTAATACCGATATTCGGTTATTGCAATTTGATCAGACTAGTAATTTTATTATGATTTTTGATTAATTAAATCAATCCATTCATTTCTTTATGTTAATTATAATCTAGAACGATAACTAGTTTAAGAAGTTTAAACCTAAACATTATTTTTCTATTTTGATTGTTAATTTCTTTTACTCGCAGTAGTATGTAAAGATGTACTTGGAGTTTTCTTTGATTTTTGTAGTTCTTTGAGAACATATTTTAGAGAACTTAAATTCTACGGTTTTAATTTGTTTCCTGTTTGATTTTCTTTTCTATTATTAAAAATAAAATTTATACTAATAAATGTTCATCAAAACAGGTTTCTATGTTTCTTGATCCATTTTTTATATTAATATATTTATATAAATAAATAATATATAGTATCACAATATTCCCCATGCATTTTATCCTTTTCTATTTATTATATGAGTACTTCCTCCTGATTCCATTAACAAATCCGCAATCTTATAGTGCTCATATGCCAAAGCTAAATGAACTGCAGTATTACCATCATCCTTCTTTAGTAATACCATAAATTTTAAATATTGATATCTGCACCTTTTTTTATTAGGTCATGCACAATTTTGATACATCCACATTAAGCAGCTAAAATAAGAAACGTATTTCAATTTTAAATAGGAGTGTCTAGTTGAGTTTCAGGAATAAATTAGATATTATCAATAAACTATTATTTATTAAACAAAATTAACTTACTTCTGTATTTTTATGATCTTAGATGGCCAATTTAATTTATTAAATTTAATCTAATTTTATTTCTTGAAGATCCCATAATTTGAGTTCTCATTCTTAATGAATTCATGTACATACTTAAGCAATTCTAATATTATTCAAATAAAAATACTATTTTGTTTTTTAAATGACTGGAATTATAAAACACATATAAATCTTACTAAGAATCTTCATCCAAATTATGTAGATTTAGACTAGAGTATATTTAATTGGATGCTTAGAATATTTATTGCAATTATATTTATGGTGTGTTTAAAACTTAAACAGATTAAGGGTTTCTTCATTTTATGAAGAACTTAATGAAGAACTTATATCCTATAAAGAACTATTCAAATCAATATGTTTTGAACTCATAACCCTAAACATAGATTATTAAGATATATGGGTTTTGTTATTAAAACAGTTGAAGTTTAAGTGAAAAAATTGGAATTTTATTAATTTGACTTTTATAGATTATTTGAAAAATCTCCAGATTGCACAGCTTTTCTATTCAATTAATGTAGTTAATTAACTTGAAGAGAATCCTATTTTCTAAGATTTCTTTTAGATTACTACTTCATTTTTATGACTGTCTAAGGTTTCTTATTATTTGATTCATTAACAGAGTCTTTTCTAGAAATTTTATCTAACTTTTAATCTATGAGAATCGTTTTTTGTAATTGAATAGATTATTATTGATCATTTTTTTCTTATTTTTCTATATTCGTAGTTTAAACAACAGGATCTTAATGTTCAACATCAATCATTCTGATTGAGCATAGATATCTTCCAATTAAAATCTAAGAATATCTTATTTCGATTGCTTAAAATATCATAGAATTCATAAATAAATTTTTTGAAAACTTTTACAATTTCTAATTTGCAAATTAATCTTTATCTTATCTTAATTCCATATGAAACTCTTCACAAATAGAAACACTATAACTTAACAACATATTTTTTGCTGAAAATTCCAAAATTTTTAAAATTGGTTAAAAAAATAAAGTTATGTGAAAAGCATCTCGAATTTTCTTTATTATAACTAATGTTCCTGTGGATAATTCTATAATAAAATTTAGTTTTTACATTTTTAATCTGAAGGTAAATCATTAAAAAAGTAATTTTAATTATTTTACTAATTTGATATCTCCAAAAGAGATCTTTTTCTTTTAGATGGTTTTTTGTTTTTGATAATATTTCTAACTAAATTTTATTTACATTATTACTATTATGATTCAAGGGACTATCCAAAAAGTTATCTAAAGAAACTTCTAATTCTGAATCATCGCTAGATTCTGTTTTATCTTAAGATGTTTCATTATTATGATCAAAGATTAATTTCTCAGATTATATTTAATATTTTGATAATTTTATTCCTAAAAATTAAATTTTATCTGCTAATGACTCATTTGTAATTTTTCTATGTCTTATTCCCTATTCTATTGTTGACATAAATGTAAAAGGATTATTCATTATAGTAGGTCTAAAACTTTATTCAATTTCTTCTAAATTTTCTTTTGTATAATTAGATTTCTACATCCTAATTAAACAGATTATCTTTTTGTTTTCAAATTAATAAAAGATAAATTATAATCAAATTTCTTAGTTTATACAAGTTAAATATGATGACTTGATGATAGGAGACATATAGGAAGGATTTTTGAAGTTAATTTTGGTGTAACATTTTATAATTCTGAGATTTCTTCATTAAAAGCAATAATATTTTGATAAATATGTTTTGGTGTATTGAATCAATACACTGTTTTTTCAATATTTTCAAATGTTACTGTTATATTAATTTAATTCTAATGTAATTATGATTCCTCATTCTTCTCATTTCTCTTATCATATATTTCTAATTAAATATTATTTTGTTATTTCGAAATAAAACTTGTAGATTTCCTTTGATGATTTAGGAAGTAAAGAAAAGATTCTAATTATATCATATTTCTAGAATTTGTGCCTTTTTGAATTAAATTTATTTTCCTTTAAAATACCTGAGTTGATACACTAAACTATTCACCATTTATATAACGAAAATATTTTTAGATTTCTTTTGTATGGATAAATTATATCAATGTTGTTAATTTAGAGGTCAAAACTTAATTACCTGGTTCGAATTTAATTTGAATGGATAGTCTTTCTTATTCGTGAAATGTATTAAATTCATTGGATATTAGGATATTAAATAATAACTAATTAAAAAAGATAATACTTTCTTAGGATGATTGCGAAATGATTTTTAAACTGCCAATTTAAAATGGGATTTGAGTGAAAGTTTACTTGTTGATAATTAGTCTTCTTTATTCTGTATGATATCAGTAGCATGTAGTAAATTATTGGATGTATTCAATATTAATTACTTATATCATCAACACTTTTTTCACCATTACTTCTTCCTTTGTCAATATGTTCCTCGATTGCAGCAGTTGGTTCTGTCATTATATTTATATAAGGCATTCTTTATACTTCCATTTTAGGTTCAGGGGATAGTTTAGGAAGCATAGGAATACGAATTTTAGGATGTTTTTTTGAAATGTATAGATTAGGTGTTGTAGAATGTTCTGAAACATATTTAATTCTTCCTTAATTCTTATTTTATAATTTTCTATCTTCATGCAAGGTTACTATCTTAGATCATGGAGATAGATAATTTTTTTCCTTTGGATTTTTTTGATGTTATATGAAACTCAACTTTGTAGGAATTGATTAGAATGATCTAATTGATTAATTTTAAGAGAGAAAGCTAGTTAAAATACTTGGGTTTTCTTTGGGACTTAGAAAACTTGTATGAGATGATAAAGAAAATGGATTAGCATAATTCATTTATAAAAATTATATGCAACAACTAAAGACAAAAATAAAGCCTCCTTTTTTGTTAGATGGAGTTTCAGCTGCAAGAAGAGGAAAGGTGCTTGATTACAAGGCAGAAAAGGATACTCATTTAGAATAATACTTCTTTAATATGTAAATGAGATAACAAATGATGAAAATGAAACAAGATAGAATGAGTTAAAGAAATTTAGCTCATTAACAATCAAAGTCCTTTGAATAAACTATAGTAAGGATGAATACATAAAGTTTAGCATCAATAAAAATAAACTTAAGTATTAAATAAATCCAACTCGCCCCAGCATTAGACTAAAGTATCCAACACTCAAAAAGTTCCTAATGTATCAAGATCATTATCAAAAGAACACTTTGTAACATTTCTTGATTCTTTCATTACGACAGTATAGAATGTTTAACAGTTAGTAAATACATATTTTCCTTAAGATTAAATGGACAATTAAATATCTAAATAGCAAGATGAATTAAGAAAAATTAGTTAAGCTACTGAATAACTTAGTAGAAAATTACGTGCAAATTCATTAGGAAATAAAAAAGAAGTAGAGAATGTAAAAACTTAAAAGAACTTTTCAAAATTACCTTAAATTAAGAAAATAGATGCTCTTGTAAGTAAGTCTTAAAGAGGAAGAGATTAATAATATAAAGTTAATAATTAAGTTACTAAAAATATTGCTAATGTTTCAAAGACTCTAGAAAGAAATTAAAATATTGAATTAGAAGAAACAGAAAATCATAATTTTCGTTTTGAATATTATGAATCTGTATAAGACAATACAATAAAGAAAACTATTACTGATAAACCTGTAGATTAAATCTTAAGTCATAGAGATCCTGATTCTTAATAATCAAATTTATTATAAATAAGATCTGATTAAACAACTTAACTTCCATCAGTAAGAAGTTCATAATAAAAACCTGTTTATTAGTATAAAAAATATCATAAAGAAATTCAATTAGTCTTAACTAAACCAAAATAACATAAAAATGAAGTTCCATTAATTTAATAATCTCCAGAATAATTTAAAAGTAAAAGTGTTGGTACTAGAGATAATTTATAGAAAAGTTAATCAAAGAATTTGTAAAAATTAGATTTTAAAAAAATAACTTCTATCAATATTTCTAAAATTGAATAATAAAAATCTAAAAAAACCTTAAATTAGTAAGAAGTTTCTAGTAAAAAATAAAATACACCACCAATTCTAATAAAAATTACAGATATTGATAAATAATCTAATGTAGATCAACCTAAAAATTAGGTTTAAGTTGAAGTTGTTGAGGATGTTGTTCAAAATTTTTCTAATGATTCTGGATTATTTTTGATCTAATAGTCATAGAATTAAGAAAACCCTCAAATATAAACTTAAGATGAAGATAAGAGTAAATTGAATGGAACTGCATTCTTCAAGATTGTAGAAGAAGAAGAAAGGAAAGATAATATTGGGAAAATGACAGAAAGTAATGAAATTTAAAGATTTAATTTAAATGATGAAAACAAAGAAAAATAATCTAATTATTAAGAAATAAAATAGGAAAATGCTTTCATAAAAATGATATAAAATTAAGTTATTGAAAATGATTAGAAACTATTAAAATAATAATAAACAAATTATAACACATTTGATGATGTAGAAAATGGCAGCTAAGTATTAATTAAAGTAGCAGAATCAATAGATCCATAAAGTGATGAAGATGTAGTAAATCCACTTGAAGATAGTGATGATTAATAAAGATAAAATTAAGAAACCTTCTTGATTACTACATTAGAGTAAAATAATTAATAATAAGATATTCTATAATAGAAGGACAATTTTGAATAAGAATCATGATTTTATTATTATATATTTAATTAACTATGTTATCAAAAAAGATATTGATATATATGTTCTTTCTTTTGATTATTTAATATTTTGAATAAATTGAATACTATAAAATAATTGATTATTTATAATTACTTAATGAATTTTAATTTACATAGATATTTCAAAATTTACAAAACTGAGAGACAAAATTAGAAAACAAAGAATTGGATTAATTTGGTTTATAGATACTAAGACTAAGATCTCATCCATTTTTTTGGAGAGGAAGGAAGGTAGAAAGGGGAAATTACAAATGGAATTGGTAAATTATTTAAAGATAGAAATCTACTCACAAATATTGAATTTATGTTAAATAAAGAAGCCTAATTTGAATTTATAATATAAACACATCCAGTAAATTAATATTTTTAATTACTATTAAAAATTTCCAAAGAAATTTTAACTTTTTTATATTGAGTATTTTGAGAAAGAAGAAGTCTATAAAAGAATTAAAATAATTAAAAAAAAGGGTAATAGTCAAGTTCTTACGATGAAGTTACAATGTTATAAAATAGAATAAAGAAATTAATAATATATTTGATTATTTTGAATAAGATTGAATAAGATAGATTTGCATTTTAAGGCATTCCTAAAGATTAATATCATTAGTTACTCTCAATATTGGCACATGTAACATAATGGCTAAATAAAGGTCCTAATTACTAACTTAATTGTGAAATTTCAATTAGTTTTATTGGTACTAGAAATATTTCAACGGATAAAATTTATTATATCTAAGAGTATAGAGTAATCAATAATTTCATAAATGGAATTGTGTTTTTGATATTTAACTTAAACCAAGTATTGATTTAATTAGATTATATGATTTAATAGTTGATTAATTCAAATATCAAACAATATTTAATTAAACCTATGTAAAGAATCAAGGCAATTTTTAAATTTAAGATTTAGGAACAATAAGTTTCATAAATAAAAAAAATAAATAAATAATGTCTTATATTTCTAATTAGTATTAGAAATGAATTTCTTATTTATATTTCAAAAATCCCTCCAATATTATTATTTTATTTTTATGAAATCAAAACAATATACTCTAATTTCAATTGAAGGCAATATAGGATCTGGTAAAAGTACTTTACTTAGATTAATGTAATAAAAATATCCAGATGTAATTATAATTAATCATTTTTAGTTGAGATTTATAGCAGAACCAGTTAATGAATGGTAAAGCATAAATGGAGATCCATCTTTGAATTTACTAGGTTCTTTTTATGAGGAGCCATCAAGATGGGCTTACACTATGCAAGTTTATGCATTTTACAGTAGACTTAAACATTGGAAGGAGGTTTTATCTGATCCATTAAATCCTGAAGATAGACATCTCATATTAAGTGAAAGAAGCATTGAAGCTGATAAAGAGATATTTGCTGTTAATGGACACAAAAATGGAATGATAAACAATTTAGAATATGCTTTATATGAAAAATTTTATGATTGGCTCTGTGATGAAGTTTTTGGAAAAAAAATACAAAAGCAAATGATTATATATTTACAAGTAGATCCAGATGTTTGTTATTCAAGGATGTAAAAAAGAGCAAGAGATGAAGAAAAAGTATTACCGCCATTTTTATTATTTAAAGAATACCATTTCAAAAGAATATTTGACTTAAATCCATAATAGACATGAAGAATGGTTATTAAGGGAAACTCATTAAAATACTTCTATATTAGTACTAAATGGAGATAAAGAATTCGAAAGTGATCTCATACAATAAGATAAAATGTTTAACACTATCGATTAATTTTTACAAGAATTATTTTGAATTTAATTAAATTATTTATATATTTTTATTTATTATAATATAATTTCAATTAAAATTAAATAAATCTAAAAAAAATTTAATATATAATCATTATTGGCTTATAAATTGTTCTGTTAAACTTTAAGCAAGATTTAATCCATTTACTATGTTGATCGAAAAAAATTTTTCATTTTATTCTTTTATTTTCAATTGTAATTTTGGTAATTCAGTTTTTTATTTTTACATTTTACATATGTTTTATTAGTTACTTAAATATTAGTTTATCAACTATTTTAAGATTTCTGCATCAATTAAAGAATCATATGAAACTAATTAATTATCATATTTTTCTGACCTTGTTCTATGTATTATTACAGCATCACGAATTTGAACACTTTCCCTTGAAGTTACATCAAGATTTGCTAATTAAGAAATTTCATCATATATATCAGGATGATAATCTCTTATATACATTTATACTTTATCAAGTATATTTTTTTAATAATTAATTGTTAACCTTATATTTTAATCTATCATACTTTCACCATTAATTATTTATTTTATCTTTTGAAATACTTTATTTATATTTAATAATTAAAATGTGTAATCTGCTTATTCTGATAGAATTTAATTATTATCATCAATTTTTTATGTTCTTTTTTAAAATTCTTAACTTTATTTAATTGTTTCAATTGATGCTTTAATAGTTTCATATTTTTATTCTAAAAGGTTATGCAACAGATTGTTTTCTAAAATATGCTTTTTAAATATATATCCAAGCACACTAATATCGGTTTTAAAATCAAAATTTTTGGAATTCCAAAGTTCAAATGATTAATTTATTACTACTTAAAAAAGAGTTTCTAAATCTTTTATATATGTAAATTTTGAATGTCCAGCCATTCTAATATTTAATTGATTGGTTGAAAGATCAATCAAAGATTAGATATAGTCTTTTAATAAAAATGATTCATATTTAAGAGATGGATTTAATCTTACCTATTAAAGCCATTAAAGAAAAATAGATCTTAAAAAATGTTTACACTTTTAATAAATGCACTAATTCCACATTTTCATCATAATCCATTAAATTGTTAATGGAGGAAATTCATATTATGGCACTTATTCAAATAATATAATGTCAAACATTTTTAGATAAGGTGTAGCAAATTCATCAATTTATTACATCCAAATTAAATACATTTAATAATTATACAGATAAAAATCTAATAGGCCAATATTATCAGTTCCATTCAATGCACATTCAAAAGTCAATGCTATAATTTATAATAGTGATTTAATTGATGAACATAAAATTATTAAAATATTAAATAATTGAGGAAATCTAAAAATAATT